CCGCAGCCGGTTCGTCGCGTTTGCTTCGGGAGTGCCGTTCAAGTAATCGGACTAAAGGACTTTTTTTAAACGGGAGTGCCGTACAGTATCGCGCGAGAAAGACTTTTAATGAAATTAGTCCGCGCGCGATTGTAGTTTATTATCCGCGAGTGTTTCTCGCGAGTGTCCTGTGCGGTGAAAAGAGGAAGCCTGACGTCTTGAGAGGAGGAGGAGGTCTGGAGAGAGACATCGGGCACCGACGGAGCAACCTTGGGGTAAGTATCATCTCTTAGCTACGTAAAATTAATAATTTGTCTCCATTTATTCGAATTGTTTTATTTAAATTTTGATAAGTTAAAAGTAATTAAAGAAAGAGAAGTTATCTAAAATGGTATTCTTGCAAAGATCTTTTTCGATAAACAGATAATTGTATTGCTAAATATTTTATTGAAAGACGAATTAGAGACGCGTAAGAATCAACTTTTCAAATGTTAATAATTTTGAGCGCTTTTTTAATTTAAATCTTATGTTTGTATGTTACAGTATCACCGTAGCTACGTGGCTGCATAACTCCGCCCGTTGCGCATCGAATCGGTGAGTCAATAAATAATTTTTTTATTGAGATAACGAATCTACGAATAAATAATTAAATAGATATAGAGCAATAATATATCTCGGTACATGCCGATTTACAATAATTTGTAGTACGAAAATATTACATTTCGTAGATCCATTGCCTTAAAATGGATGGGCTAAAATTGATTATGGGAAATATTTAATCTTGGTATCATTTGTATATTGTTGTATTTGCTGATTGTTATTGATTTATTGTGCGATTGTGCTTGAGGAAATACTCGCACGCTTCGCACGCACCAAGCTCGTGAAGAACTTATTAAATTATGTTAACGAACTGCCGCGTTTTATATAAATTACTTTTGAATAAAGTTTTTAAGTACATAAATTAAATTTTTGAATTTTTATTACATAGATCAATTTTATTTAAAACTAGAGTAAATAATAAATATTTTAGACACAAGAGAAACAAAAAGTAAAATAATTCCTTAATAATTAAAGTACCTAATGATTTTTTAAATAAAATTTTTTTAGATTTCTTTGAAAAATTATTTTTGCAACATTATATATATATTTTTTTCTTAAACAAAAGAGATAATAAGTAAAATATTGTGTCAGAGTTAGATGTTATAGGAAATAGTATTTGTAGATAGGGAAAAATTATGAGTTAAGATGTGTTTTATTTATACTTACCCATTTATTCATTTCCATATATTTAACCAAGATTAAATATTTATAAATCGATGCAAGAAAGCAATATATAGATATATTTAGAATTTGTTAGATAGAAAACGTGATAAAGTTGTTATTTATTACTAAAATTTATTTTAACGAAACATCGATTTTACCCTAATTTTTTGTAGCCTATCCATCTATTTTAAATTGAAAAATTGGCTTTATGCTAGATAAAGTCAAGTTATATGACGTGAGATTCAAAATATTCTGTCGAGATACTGAAAATTTAAATTATTTCAGAACTGATGATATAGTACAATTATTCAGTTTTGCAATAATAAATAACTACGTTATATCAAAATATCGTAAAATAAAAATTTGCATATACAATATCATTTAATTATTTAATTATAACAATGCGGTTATTGACTAATTATAATATCAATCGTGCGGGAAGTTTCTTTTTTTCGGATCTCACGTCATTTATTCTGTACCTATGGCCTAGTTTACACCGATCTCTTGATACGCGTATCAAATAGTATATTTGAACTAATCAGCCAATAATCAGACTTATTTACTAGTTATTTACTATTTAATACGCGTATCAAGTGATCGGTGTAAACTAGGCCTATATCTTATTTGATATATTTTCGATGCGACATTTTAGAACACTCTGAACCTATTAACTTCCGCAAATTTGGAGATATCTATCTATTTTTAATTTTATTATATTTTTCAGTCTTTTCTACCCCTATTTCATATATA